CCTCAGATCTTCGAGATATACTACTTCCGCGTCTGGGTCGCCCTCGTTCTTTGGGCTTCAACTCACGCTCTTATTCTCCTCCCGGTCCTTCTAAGCCTTGTAGGCGGCGGCGGCTACGTCGATCCTGAAAGCGATGGCGGGCTTGAACAGGATCTTAGAAGACGACAGTACCCTGCGCTGCTCGCTGAGGACGACGAGTATGATAGCGATGACTAGGCGTATCATGGTTTCTTGGGGAAGTGATTGGTGTAGCATGTTTTGAAGATGTGTGTTTGGGATAATTGAGGTTTGGGATGCATGGATGGCGTTTTCCGGTAGGTTTGGCTCTTTCTCCGATGAGAGGGGGTAGGTGGGGAATGAAGGAGAGGGATGGCGATTGAGAGATGAGGAGAGGGAGGGGTGATGGATGTAGTTTGTCTCTCCGTCTTTCCGGCTCTTGAATGTAGGCTGGTATGCATTACGCTATGGGATTAATTTGATTCATATATTGTGCAATTGTAAGACATTCATGTTCTCGTTTCGATGTGGATACCAATCTGCCGTTTGTAGTCGCCTACACCACCCCACTTAATGAGAGCTGGATCGGAATGTTGGAGCATACGTGTTCTAGCTACTATTATAGTATCTGCCTCGAGGTAGATCTCCCTGTTTCATACGTTTTTGTTGGACGCATTGCTATTAGATACTTTGACGTAGACAGGCTGTGTTTTCCCCCCGGGATTATACGTCAACCGCGGGATATGTACCAGAGTCTAGTAGCTACATCGTGCGATTCCAAATAGAATGTAAGAGTAAACGCTGCTCGTCGGCGTCTAGCTCACATCTTCTTTAGGTCCAGGGTGAACATGTTTAGATAAACAGAGTAGTAGCTAATAAGAACAAGATGTTAGTTCTAGTTCGCATTGCTAGATGTCCTAGACCCTAGCGAATACACATGCCATTCACAATCTCAAACACAAGGTAAACGCTACAACGTTTCCGTATCGCTTCTATCTCATTCACGTACGTGAAGTGCGTAGTTATACCTCTGAATGGTAGTTACGCTACAGCCGGACGGATACATCTGCGATACCATCGTCACGTGCATGCGTAACACGACGATGTTACCGTCTAGCTTGTGTGCGGGCTAGTGCGGTGAAGTTACGCGTGGCGTATACGCGGTATGGTTTTGCGAGGGTTCTGCATCAAATGCGACAAGGTCGCTATCTGGCGAGTGTATGTGTAAATCTGGTGAGTTGTGGTGTAGCGGATGCGTTGCACGGTTTTATACGGTATGTGTACCAAATACTACAATGTTGTCATGTAGCTTATGTATGGTTATAGGTAGTGAGGTATTCTGTAGCGGATACGTTGTATAATTTCCCCTCATATGAAGACTAAACACTGTAACATCGTCGTCGTCTAGCTCATGTGTCAATGTATCCGGTAAGGTGTAGCGTGGCGGATACATCGTATCATTCCACCCAATATGCCTACCAAACGACGCAACGTCGCCGTCTAGCCCATGTTGTATTCACACATTTGCACTACACCCTGCTAGATACATGCACATCAACCTCTTCACAATCACACCAAACACAGCAACGTAGCCGGCAGACTCATATATTATTCACTACTGAACCCCCATATCTCATCACTGCATAGGGCAGAACCCCAAGCAAGTAGTAACGAGAGCCTCCGAACAGCTACATTCAGTGTCCACATCACATAGATAACAACAGCCGTCAGGGTCGCAGCCTACATACCATCTCTTCGCATTCGGATCACGTGCACGCGCCGGCACGTGAGGAACCACCAGATTAGCCGGGCGCTGGGACGACAATGGTGGTAAACGAGTGATCTGGTGCGCCGCAGGGACGGGCTGTGCTGTGCGATTCGAAGGAGTTGGCGGTGCTGTTGGTGCTAGCGAAGGTGATGGTGTAGGTACTTCCTCAGTTTCCCTCAACTCTTCACTACCAGAACGTCTCAAACTTTCTGCATACAGACGACTACCATCCTCGTTCATGAGCTCGGTGAACCTCGAATCACCAGACTTGCGGCCTTCAGCGCGATCTGGAGGCGCGAGTGATGAGGCTGAGGACTCATGTAGGCTCCTGGGACGCTCATTCGGATCGAGAAGTGTGTGGGATGAGCCATTGTGGGCGCCTAGCTGATCTTCTGAGTCTGCTCCACCACGCATGAATATCATGTCGTCTCGAGAGGGCTCTGTTTGGACGTAGTGAGAGTATTGAGGAGCGATGCCTCTGTGACTGAAATACGCTCGTGCAGTTTCTGATGCTGGCAGGCGACCTGGTGTGACTATCCATGCGCGACTTTGACCGTCTCGGGTTCTCGCTATGGTAGACAGCGTAGGGTTTCGTGGGGGAAGGCCATCTCCAAAGTGAAGGTCGTCGGACTCGCTCTCGGAACCGCTGCAGATGTCATAATCGATTGAGCCTGACTGGCTCATCGGGCCTTCGACTTCAACAACTTCAGCATATCTCCGTTGGTCCCTCAATATTACAGCCGACGCTGAAGATAGAAGGCGAAGCTGCTGCAGTGTTGACCTGAGTCGTGAAACCACGGGGGGAACAACTGGAGCCGCAGGGGAATGTTCAACGAGCGTTGTTTGACCACTGTTCAATTGCGATGGACTGACATATGCTCCTTGCGGGTGCGATGGGTTGACACATGCTCCCGGTGTATGCGGGGTGGCTGACGAGAAAGCTTCGACGACGGTTGCAGGGCCACTTTCGACTTGCGATGATTTGTCTAAGGATGCTACGAAGTGTGGGGTTGGCGCGAAGCCAGGCGGAGACGTTGCTGCATGTGTTGCTGACAGCTAGTCAGTAATTGAGCTGGGAGGCGACATTGAGCTGAGAGGCGACGGGCGATACGCGGTATTGTAGGCTCTGTTATATTGCACATCCTTCCAGTCTGGCAGAGCCGCAAATTCGGCGTCGGACATAAAGGCGGGATGCGAACCTGGTCGCTTGTTGTGAGTGTATTCGACCGGACGCTTCAGCCACAGGCTTGCGACATGCTGTCTCCGATGTCGCTCTTGTAATCGGGTCACCCAGCTTTGCGCTTCTTCCTGCTCTTGCTCTTCTTGCTCTTCCTACGAGCCGACCTCGTCAGCCCAGCTGCGTCCCTTCTCCATGGGCGATGGCAGGCCGAAATCGTCTGTGTCTCTCACCTTCTCCTTCACCTTCTCCTCTGCAGGTGCCTTGCCCTTGGCAGAGGGTAGTTCTGGGAAGTCTGATGCTGAAGGCGGGACGTTGTCGCGCTTCTCCCGGGTGTTTGCTGGCCTCTCATCAGATCCCCGGTAGTCGCCACGGCCACCTCTGCTGCCACGGCCTCTGCCCCTGCCTCGTCCACGGCTAGACTGCCCGGCAGGCTCATGGTAATCTTCGCTTCCGTTGTAACCGTTGTCGACTGGTCTCGAGGGTGCGATGCCACCATGCGCGCCACGTGCAGCGCCTCGTCGCTTCTCGTCTCCAGTGCCAGAGAAGCCATCTTCTTTCTCAAAGTCCCATTCCCTGCCCCCTTGCGCATTGAGCTTGCGCTGACGGTTCTTCTCGCGTTCGCCCATCATCTGTTGGCGACTCTGGCGCTCTGCCTTCTGCTTCTCCGCGAGAGCCTTCTTTCGCTCTATATCCTGCTTCTGCATGACGGCTTCGCGTGCCTCGAAATTGCCCTTGTCGGCCTCGGCGCGAGCATGGGCGCTCTGACGGGCTTCGTTCTTAATGCGCATGTTGGCCAGCTTCGTGTTCAGCTCCTCTTCTGTGAGGCGCGTGCGTGCAGGGCCGCCAGTCAGGCCTCTGTCTCCGCGCACGGCGTGTGTGGTCTTCTCCTTGGGCTCGGTGGGTGCAGAAGGCGGGGCTGAGTTGTCTGCGACATCGGTAGGGACAGTCGCGGTCGGCGCAGCTTCCTTCGGAGCCTCAGGGGCCTTCTTGCCGTTTTCTTCTAGTCGAATGTCGGTGTTGTGCCCGCCGCGGCCTCGTCCACGGCCCCTTCCTCGACCACGGCCGCGACCTCCTCTTTCGGCGTTCCTTGGCTCACGAGGCGCATGGGGTGCGAGGTGCGCCTGCGGTGCGGTCGGCGGTTGTACTTCCTCGGGAACGAACTCGGGGGCGGAAGCTTGCAGCTCGATGGGGTTCTGCTCAACAACTGGCTCGGCGATAGGCGTGATGTCGTCGTCGAAGAAAAGGTCGTCTGTGCTTGCCGTCTGAGCGAATGGATCTATTGACGGATCGTCGAAGGCGGGGTCGTAGGACGTGTTATCGATCTGGCGGGGGTTAGTCTTGTATAAGAACCAGATGCCTACTCCAACAGTAGGGGAGAGGTCAGGGGTAAAGAGTGTATAAGTTGACATACCTGTGCTGGCGCTGGTTCTGGTTGAGCGACGGTGACCTCGGGCGCTCCTGATTGCTCCGCCTCGTCAGGCTGGGTAGCCCATTTTGACTTGAGCATGATGACTAATAACGAGTAGTGCTAGAAATAGTATCTAGAACGAAGTATGGAGTTGGACGTTATTTAGCGATGTTGGGGAGCGATGTGAGGAGTCTCTGGTCGTTGCGGCTGGTCGAATTACTTGCAGGAACCCTGGCACCCAAGTCCGTGCGGCAACAGCTCCCCGCACCTGCAGTCTAGACCCGATGGGTCCTTCCAGCCCCACGCCCATGGTTCAGTGGCACCTGGGCAGCTGCTCCGAATGATACTCGCTGCTTCTTACATCCTCATACACAGCAGAGTTGAACAGGTGTCTTGCAGCCTACATCAAGCCCTCGAACAATGTTATACCAGATACGAAGGCAATGTAGACTCCAGGCATTATTATTATTCTACTAATCTTGCTACCACTAAAGTAGACCACAACATGAAAATACTAGCTCCGTGACACATTCCCCCAGCCCTTGAACGCCGTCGCTAAGTCGTAGAGATGATATACAAGGCCATCCAGCCAATAAAATTACAAACGCATTAAAAGATAACAAAACTCCGCACAAAAGCTACTCAGGCTATCCGCATGAACCAGGACGAACATCCTCAACCCGAACAACAGAAGCAACACACGGATACACCGGAATCCCAGACCCATGCGTATACCCATCCTGCCCATTCCCCCAAGGCAAGCTCTCCTGCGCAGGCCAAACCTGTCCTCCCTCCGACTCAGACTTTGAACAAAACGTCAAAGCCACGACTCCCTTCCCAGGCTCAAGCGGCGACGACTCCCGGCTCTGCCGCCGCGAAGAACCCGGTGAGAGTTCCGGTGGATCCGTTGGCTGGTCTTCAAGCCAACCGAGTACCTTTTGGCTCACGGTTTCCGTGAGCGGGTTGCCGACGTTGTCGAAATCCTGGCCGTTGAAGGTGTATTTGACGATACCGGGGTCTGCGAACGAGGGTGCGTGGGAAGGGCGTTTTGGGGCGGCGAGACGCATTTCTTTCTCGACGGACGACAGAGTACGAGACGGAATTGGCGGCTTTGTTGATACAGCACCGGAGATGGGGGATTTGTAACCTGTGGAGATGGGAGCGCTGATCTTGGAGATGCCTTCAGCCTTGACTTTCGCAAATAACTCGTCGAGTGCGGATGGAACCGTCAAATCAGCTTCAGTCAGCCCAGTCTTAATCGGCGTGATCACAAAGCCGTTGTCGTCAAAACACTTGCGAACTGGCTTGCCATTGAGTGCCAATGCCCACTCCAAGTCATACACCGGCTTCTCCCGATGGAACTCGGCGTCAACAGAAACCCTGTACTTGCAGCGAATCAGCCTCTGGCGCGGCGTCTCCATGTTTTCGTACAGCGCGGCTTCAAGAGCCTTGCGAGAGGCGACAACACCATATGCCTTTTCAAATGCTTTTGCTTTTTCGGTAGGCCATCCTGGGGCGGTGTCTTGCTTTGTGAGGGTGGTTTGGACGGCGGGTGGGGTTTGGGCGACTACGATCTTTCCGAAGAGGAATGCTGGGGCGGTGGGGTTGAGCATGCTGGTTTGTGTGGTGTTGGGTTTTGGAGGAGGAGGGGCAATGCTTGGTTGTAAGATGTTGAGTTCTGGAAGAGGAGGAGCAGTCTTGGGATAAGATATACTATTGGGTTCTTGCTCGAGTTTGGTAGGGTTGCCGGCTACCTTGGTTGGAGCGTTGTCTTTGGGGCCAGTAGGAACGTCTTCGAACACAACCACGGGCAAATGTGTGCAGAGGTGCGGTTGCGGCGTAGCGGGCTTCGTACCGGTGGTGGTGTGCGTTCCAGTGATGGCCTCGACGTTGATGAGAGCCGTCTCGTCAGTGGCCGACTCGTCTCGAGAAACATCGGACGACTCCACGAAAGTCTGCGCAGAGTCCTTTACCATGGGCGCCGGTCCTGCATTTCCGATAACATCCCCTCCTACAGGTGCAATCTTATTGATAATGATGGTAGCGACCGGCGCGTACGAAGCCTTGTTCGCGGTGAACTTCCCGGCGGCGGCGGTGCGCTTCGCCAGCGCCTTCTCTTTCTGCGCCTTCCTGTGGTTCTTCAGGCCCTTGTTCTTCTTACACGCGACGTCGCCGGTAGCGTCCTTAGCTGGAGCCATGTTTGCGGTTCGCGGTGAGAGTGCGACTAAGTGCTGTCAGGGGTGCTTTACATCACCGGCGCAAGTTCTGACTTACATATATTAATGGCAATAATATAAGCGAGACTATGGTACAGCGTTCAAGACCAGAGCGATAACCGCGGTTCAAGAGGGCTGGATATACGCAATAAAGCGGGTGAGTATAGAGGGGAGTCGAACGAATGTGATGAGCCTTGTCCAGTGCTTTCGGGCTGCGGGCGATGGTGTTGCGCGGGTAGGATAACCTGGGGTGGAGCGCAAGCAAGTTGAGCGTACACTGGCCGCGGTAAGGTGTCGACTACTACGAGTGTCGCGCGCTGTATTAGACACTAGTACCGTGAGAGTGGAAGTGATGTAATATTGTGAACAATGGCGTCCGTGCGTTGAGACAAAGTAAGAGTGAAAGGAATGACAGTGTGACTGAACATGCATTGTTTGACAATCACATTGTTCAAGACGTCTCGGTCATCACGTGGAGTTGGCAAAGCTTGAGGATGTAGAAGGAAAAAGATGATATCATGTGACATGTGTTGTGAGGTGTCTGTAGGACGGCTAGGGCGCTGCAAGCTCAAGCGCACCGGTCACGCAGGTTTGCTGTACTTCCAATGGCCATCGGGGTGAGGCTTGCGCTCTTGTCAGTAAGGGAGCCGGGTATGGTAGCTTCTGTCTTCGAATTCATCGTTGGAAGCCAGGATCGACCAGGCTCGATTCGTCTCGATTGAAAGTAAAGAATGCAGCCGCTTCTGATCCATAGGGTATCTGCGTCCCCATATTAAAGGACGGATGCTGCCAAACTATGTGTTGTTGAGTGCAGACATGAGCATGAGCGAGTATGATTGCTTCGAGATTACTTTGAATGAGGAGACTTGGATGCGTTTACGACAGGGTAGTCTGCAGCGAAACATCGTGCGGGTACGGGAACAATCTCCTCATAGGTACGGTAAACTTCTCTGCCGTGCGATTGTCACGGAATGTGATTTAGATGGGGCCGGATCGCCAGCGCTGAGCCGTCTCAGAGCATGAAGATGAATTAAGAAGCAGTCGCTACGAAGACAGGTGGACATACCAGGAAGATTATAGATCGCGATGGTTGTCGGTGGGCGTTGGAGTGTTGTGATGACGCGCGCTTACCTTGGAAGGTACGCGGCGACAAGCCTTTCGGACGCTAAACTTCATTGCGACAAGAACGCGCTTACTAAGCTTCCCGAACACTTTCTACGCTCCATGCACACCTTCATCTTATTGACCCACTACGCTGTATTCGACCTTCCAAAATGCCGGATATAACAGCCAACGATGGTATTCATCTGCACTACGAGACATATGGCTCTTCCGGTGCCGCTCCCTTGATCTTGGTGAGCTCCCCGCCATCGAGCGCGTACCGCCACCAGGCCTGACATTGGTCGCTAGCTGCACGGCTTCACGGGTTCAGGCGCAGTCTTCAAGCGCAACGTTGCCGCACTCGCAAAAGCTCATCATGTCATCATTCCCGATTTGCGCGGCCACGGCGACTCCGGTAAACCAAAAGCCGGTTATAACGTGGCACGCCTAGCAATGGATCTCAAGAACTTGATCGAGTTCTTCGGTTTCCGCGACGGTACCATCAAAGCCATAGGCACGAGCCTAGGTGCAGCTATTCTATGGAGCTACAGCGAATTGTTCACGACTGGCGCATTCTCACACATGGTTTTCGTGGACCAAGCTCCATTGCAGAATTATCTTGAGGATTGGGGTCCTGAGTTCGGCAATCTCGGATGCAACAATCTAGAAGCACTGAACGCGATGCAAAAGACACTGATTGCGAACCCGAATGAGGCACATCTGGGTACTATCGCAGCGTGCTTAGGCTATAGATCCCACCCGCGACCCCGAGACCCTCAGTTGGATTCGGCACAGTGGGAAGACGACGAAGCTTTCTTCCTCGCTGAGGCTCTGAAAGGCGATGGGTGGTGGTATGGAAAACTAATGGCTGATCATACGGCGAACGATTGGCGACATCCTATCGCTCATGCTTTCGGACCAGAGAGCGGTAGTGAAACGAAGGTACTGGTCGTAGCAAGTAGCCGAAGTGGATGTTTCCCGGCTGCTGGACCGCTCAAGGTGGTGGAGCTGGTGAATGGAGGCGAAAAGGAAGGACTCGCAAAGGGAGTGACGGTGGACTGGGGTGGCCATTGGTGTTATTGGGAGAAGCCGGAGATGTTCAATGCCCTTGTCATTGACTTCTTCTCGTGAGCGCAATGTATGCCTTATTGACTTGATGGTGCTGCGACAGAGTAGTCCGTGTTGTTAGTCATCTCAACGTTCATACCTATAGGTCCTATTTCATAGCCAAAGGAACGAGAAGGGTAACGCTTCAGACAACGAATTCTTCCGCAGGCGCGTCAAACCCTGCAGAGCGCCGCTAATGAGTGGCATATGGGCAAAAACCTGGCGAAAACATACCACAGTGGGGATTTTCAAGCATTCATCCACAGAGCGACTTCTAAACCGCCGGCATCCTGCTTGTATATGGCTGAGCGGCCGTAAAAGACCACTATGTGGGGTTCCCCAGGCTAAAGATGCGGCTCCCGGAGGCTCTGGGGCTAGCGCATGAGAGTTGTGGCTCGTAGCGAGCAGGTCTGCCTCGAGACGAGCATGACTCGCCTCGATCCCCGCAACACTGTCACGTATATATGCTCAGTTGACTGCATCTTCATCGCATTATCATCACTCATCTCTTCATTGTGCAAGCATAATACCCTCAGCCTCTTCGTCGCATTGCATAGCTCTCAACCCGAGATCGTGAGCCCCAGAATCGAAGTCCTGATCACCACAAACCTGATCCAAGAGTTTTGAGGAGCGAACCACCACAAAATGTCGAACAACATCCTCATCACCGGCGGCGCCGGCTTCCTAGGCCCTATGCTCGCCGCCAAGTTGGCCAAAGATCCTTCAAACAACATTGTCCTGACCGACCTGCGCACACCCCAACGGCCAGCCGGCATCTCGGAGTCGGCATCCAACCTTGAGCTCACAGCCGGAGATCTCACCTCCCAATCAGACATCGACAAACTCCTTTCCATGCGCCCACAATGGTCATCCATCTTCCTCTTCCACGGCATAATGTCAGTCGGCTGTGAAGAAAACCCCGCGCTTTCCACCAAGGTCAACCTAGACGCCACGCTTTCTGTTCTTACATCCATCTCGAAACTGCAGCAATCTACCAAACCCCGCATTGTCTATGCTTCTACTCAGGCTGTGTACGGACCGCCTTACACGGCAACAGGACCCATTACCGATGACACTCCTGCGACACCAATAGGCGTGTATGGTACCCACAAGGCCATCATGGAGAAGCACATCGATGATCTTAACCGCCGTGGCCTAATCGACGCCTTCTCCGTGCGCCTACCAACCGTCGTCGTTCGTCCAGGCGCGCCTTCGCGATCAGCAGCAGCATTCCTAAGCGGCCTACTCCGCGAGCCGCTGGCCGGGCTCGAATGCATCGTCCCCATTAGCGACCGTTCAGCACGCCAGATGATCTGCTCGCCACGCGTCATGATCGAGAACTTTGTGCGCGTTATGAAGGCGCCGTCGGATGCCATGCCCTCGCATATCCGCGCGGTGTACATGCCGGGAATCAGTGTTACTCTTGGAGATATGTACGCGGCGTTCGAAGCGGTGGTTGGAAAGGAAAAGCTGAGCCTGTTGAGGGAAGAAGTGGATGAGGAAGCGAAGAGGTTGTTGGATAGCTGGCCGCAGACTGCGGAGTTTGGTAATGCGACGAGGATGGGGCTGTTGTTTGATGAGAGTTGCGAGCAGATATATAGGGAGTATGCTGATAGTCTTAAGGCGTAGGCTTTGAAGTAGAAAATTATCTCCAGTTCGAATTTTAGCATTCCAAATAATCATCGCATGTCGCAAGGATACCGACCGCTTACTCATGCGACAGTCTCAAAATATAGGTCCTCCTCGATTCTTTCCACGTCCAAGCGACCCAACTTCTCCATGTCTACCTTCCACCTCTCCATCTTGTCTTCTAGCGTCCCAGCCAGCAACTCCTCCTTTTTCCCGTACTGCCACCGTCTAAAGCCCGAAGGACCATTGACAGTAGCCTTATACATGCGACCAGCCTTCAGCCCTTCCATACTGCGAACATATTCTTTCTCGTTGCCCAGTTCTTCCAAAGTACATCCGAATCGCCATGCCTTCTCCGCCGAGATCTCCACGAAATCATCGTCATGCGGAAACCTCGGATGCGGGTCACCGTCCCAGCAGACGAAGACAGCACCTCATTCAACCTTCTCGCCGGTGTCATTGTCCTGACAAGCGATTAGTTGGTCCATACAGTGCAGGTCCAGGCCGGAGCAGAAATTGGTGACTGAAAGTGGAGAGCGTGATTTATCGAACACAAAGGGCTCGTCGCTGTCGGTTGTGTACTCGATGATCAGGGTGAAGGGATCTGGACCATGAAGATGAGCTTTGCGGGGCATCTCCAGTCTGGCGAAAAGTTTGGGAGGCGCCGGGTCGTCGTGGACGGTGAAGTAGTATGTGCCACCTCCCTCACGATGAACGGGCAGCTTCTGCGCTGATGTGAGGCTTTCGGGATTGCCATCGAGCTCATCCGTATAACATGCGAACACTTCGCCAGCTTTTTCAGCCAACCGTAACCCGTACGTTCGCCCAGGCTGTAAGACGTCTTTCCACACAACATGCGTCGTTTCAGTCAACACACTAAGCGATACTTTCCGATACTGTGGAAATGCCGTAGGGAGTATGTTGTACTGGCCTTTTCGAGGTGACGTGACAGATGGCAGCATGACAACACCTGCATCTTCCTTGCCAGATTGCACGAGTTCGAACAGTCCAGACCTTAATGCCTGTAGGACAGTGTTTTGCCCCCTTCCAACAACAGTAAGACCATTGCAGAACAGGGTTATGGGGCGCTCTGTCTCTGGAGTTGTGAATATGAGGTGGCCAAGGCTACGACGTTGTTTGCGGTTCAACTGGAATTTGTTGTTGGTTTCCGGCTCTTCTGCCTCAAACCGGAGTGATAGGACGTTGCCACCACTAAGACCGGTTTCGCCTGCCATATTGACCGAGCGTTTCTTGATATGTGTAGCGCGTGCCTGGAATAGATCCTCGCGATAGGCTTGTTAGAATGAAGGGAAAGAATTCGTAGCTGTTGATTGACACCAAGATCTGGGCAAAAGGACACGGCCATCAATCCCGCCACTAGAGCAAAGGCAATGCTCACACCGGCTCTGTTCGCACCAAGGACCACTTTGAGTCAGCGTTTCACATGCGCATTTTTGTTCATGTCCGAACGGCGTCATGATAGGTCTGACGTCATGCCACAACCAAAAGCATGAGGCACAGTGCTTGGCGTATGGCCGATCCAAGTTCTTAACACCCATATCACCAAGCCAACTTCATGGAGATACATTGGAGGCGTCCTCACGATAATTCTCTTGACTGTTCGTTCAACATCACTTCAACGTAGACTCCAGATTGTACACTTCGTTCACAGATTACCACAATGGGTACTCAGATGTACTTCGCATTCTAATTGAACCGTGATCGTTTGGACTGCACACCCCGTCCACCAGAATACATGCGCTCATGATTGCGTTTCTCACCCTGCTGCGTTCTTTGCAGGGAATGAGGGGGCATCAGGTTCGTAATGCTCACAGCTCCTGTTTGCATCCGCATTCTTAGTGTATTGGATTGCGATTCGAGGTGAGGTTGCGATAATGCCTGGCGGTCTCTGTAACAAATCTCCTTTCGCAGCGCTCGCTCGATGTCCTCAACGCTATCACCAGGTAATAGTGATTGATCTCCCCTCATCCAAGTCAGTATCCGTTGGATCGTTCTACCATGGGGATCGGCCCCGTACTGTAGAGAGGCCAGAATCATGTCCCGAATGTCTTGGACATGTACCATGTTTTACCGCTTCCGCTTGATGCCATCTTCTATAGCGTACAGGAATCCTTTCCATATGCTGACATTCCTGCGAGTGTTCATGTTGGGATCTAATCCATGTTCGAGGAAGATGCGATACTGCTCAACTCGTGCGGAAAGTAGAATCAAAGAAGTTTGGTGTTTCAATTCCTGACACACATTTTGGAACCATCCATGGCTTGATACGTCCATGTAGACCATGGACACATCAGCGCCACATCTGAGGAACTCGCCTAAGAGTCTGTGCTGGATATCTCGTGATATACCTTTGAGATGGGGAGAAGTTCGTACCAGCATCCGCAGGAAATCCTTCGTCAGTGTTGTGCCGTGTATCGTCGCATTTGGATCGAGTCCATGGCTGAAGAGGCACCTGAAGAATCTCTCCGAGTTCCGGATGCTGTCTTCCAATCCAGCGTCCATACGATCTATCAGCACCTTCCATTGCTCCGCCGCCGTATTGACATCTGCGCCCTTCACGAGGAAAGTTTGCAGTACAGCGAAACATTGCTCTTTTTGCTTGCCATCCATCAGCTCAATCATTTCGCCTACGAGCGCGGTCCAACTGGATGTACCATCCACAATGGCATTGGGGTCTGCGCCTAGTTCGAACAATACCGTTACCAAGGAAGGCAGAGGAACATTGCCCGAAGCCTCATGGGAAGAAGGACTCAACCGGCCCCGGTGACTATTGTTGCTACAGGGTGAAACAGCGGAAGGTAGGCAGAAGTTGTAATTTTCGTCGGAATCCACCAGGCATACTATTGCGTGCTTGAGAATACGGTTTAGGTCCAGCGCAACACCGCCTCTGTGCACTCGATGTTTTAAGTAATTTGCGTGCCCAGCCGAAGTTGCGAAACGGAGGATGTAACAGCTCAGTCCGCACCTCGAATGCCTGGCTCTCGTGCGCTCGCTCTCTGACTCTGCCTGATCGATAACCTGATAGCAATCATTGGTGTTGCCCGTCTCAACAGCGCCTCGAATAGAAAGCTCTATCGCTAGTTTGATAGTGTCGGGACACGAATGCCTGTCGATAAACTTCGATTCGGCGATCAGTGCACGGCTTATAGCAGTGTATACATTCAGTTCCTGTGAAGCCCAAGACTCTAGTTCTTCCCTCATGCGCTTCGTAGCGAGAAAGTCGCTGAAAGTGCGGTGCAGGAAGTCTACCTTAGTCTGAGCGCTGATGCTGATCGTAGAACCCGCCTCCAGAAGACCTTTAAATCTACCGTTGAGCCGTCTCTCTGTTCGAACGGCACATCGGTGGATCTCTAGGTTCGTCCATAGCGTGCTGTGAGTACCGAATCCGAAGGATGCGTCTTCTTGTTCCAGAAAGTAGTAATGTATCAGTTTCAGTTGACGGGGAGTCCGCATAGCGATGAGAAAGGTCCAGGCCATTCGACTTCGATAGACATCTTCCACGGACGCCAATATTTGCTCGAAAAACTCTTCCAAATCCGACGGTATCGTACGCAATCGTTCCTGAAGAATGGAGACAGGATCTTCGTTGATGATGCCATTGCGGAGAGACCTAACAACGAGACGGACCCAAAGAAACACCCCCTCTGCTCGCTCTCCAATTTCTCGTACCAGACCGTCGAAGAGAGTGGTTTCAACTTCCGTGTTGCGACTGTATAATAGCAGGTTATCCCGTGCGAATAACTCGATGTCGCGTCTTGTGAAGTGATGTACTCGAAGGATATTGGAGTTGGCTTTCCCAAAAGAATCTTGGAAACAATTCCAGGGCCTACTGGAAAGGCACAATTTGACGTTAGGACAATTAGACAGGCTCCGTACTGTCTCGATCACATCCCAGCTGTCACCGTAATATTCGTCAAGGCCATCGACGTGGAAGTAGAACTTAGTAGTAACGTCGAGTTGCGTTCGAAACAAGACGAGCGACTTTTGCAGCTCGGAAAGAGTCCATGGGCCTGGGGAAGCATTGCCATAACGCTGAGGTTCAGACTGCGCAGTCCATCTTTCAGGACATATCTTTGGAGCGAGGTCAGGGCAAGCATGAAGTATGTGATGAAGGAGTGTCTGTAGAAGCCCTTCCAAAGTCTTTTGCATCTGTTGACCCGGTTTCCAAAAGTAGAAGCATGCTCTGACCAACGGAGCATTTCCAGACCAGATGCGAAGATTTTGGATCGTCTCGTCGTTATCGTACAGGTACTTCATCAAGGTTGACTTCCCGGAACCTGGTCTAGTGCTCAGCAATCAGCCTGCTACACAAATAGCCACTACGACTCACCCGGCTTTCCCGTAATCCAGTATATTCCATCGTCACACTGAAGCCATTGCGCGAACCCTGTATCTACCTGTGGACCAGATTCGTGAGAGGCATATCCACTGTACATCCAGGCAAAGGTCTTTTGATGCGCATCTTTGATAGCGCTCTGTCGAATATACATGCTTTCGTAGCGGAGACTTGCGATGATCGTGTGAGATTGAGACACTTGATGCACCTTGGAAGAGATCCGAGAAAAATCATCATGGAGTCTCTTCCAGAAGGCATCTCCTTGGAGATCTGAGACGCGTGTTTGAATGTCCTGAAGCTGAATGTGGAGGTCCTGGATCTGTGCAGTGATCTCATAGTCTGCCTGCATGTTCTTTTTCTTCCAGTCTTCCAATGCGCCCATGAGATGATAGTGGTTCTCGCTGGAGGTATGATCAATAGAAGCGAGTAAACACAGGGTGAAGAGAGCTTACTTCGTGTCTAAGACGACATGCATTGTGACCTGGTCTCTGAGACGCTCCAGCCTTGTCTTCAATTCTTCGATATGCGAGTTCCCCCACACGCAACTTAGGGCATGTCGAAAACTCTGCCACCTCGTTCGGCCTTTTCCAGATCCCGGTCGATACTTGCGTTGGAGCTCGGCGATTGCACCTAGAAGCTCAGAAGCAATGGTGTCGCAGCGACGCGCAATGTCAGGCAGTTGCGTAGATGAGTACACGTTCCGCCTAGCCCTGTCGGTGAAAGTCCTGATGTCTCGCGTTATAATATCGAGGTCAGTACACTCGTCTGACGCGACCGATCCAGACATGTACAGTTCCTTGGTTTTCGATAAGAGAACGAAGCTAAAGGAAATGAACTGGATGATGTTTCCGGCAAGACCGATGGCAGCAAGACCCTCTGCCATGTCGATACTGGCGCCCTGGGATGAGCAGCGCAGACATAGCTAATGGAGATGCGAGCGACTTGGGTTTCAAAAATGGAAGCGATGCAACTGCTCGGCTGCCGCTCTAGGCTCCGCCACCACCAGGCTGAGGGTGCATTGCTTTTTGGCGACCTACGGCTCGATGGAAAGACGGTAACAGTGGTGTGACGTACCGCCTGCAGGTTGACAAGGCAGAATGAGGTTTAAATGCAGCGGCATTCCGGTGAGATGCAACAGTTCGCTGGGTCTGGTTGGTGACAGGTTGAAAGCCACTAGCTGTGCTGCAGGTGCTTGGCGCCGCCCAGGTGCGCCTGCCATCACAACGACAAGGCACACCGCAAATCGCAAAGAGTGAGGCGGCGCAACCTGTAGGCCGACGGCACATCCAATGTCAAGGATGCAATATTTGGGCAGCAAGTTAAGCTATGAGCTACATAGATCTTGTAGGGAAACATACATACGAGGAGCCGTCTGCGTTCTCTTGTGGCGTGGTAGACCCTGCTTCCTATACTCTGCCCCTCAACCACTCGCCCGCCCGCTTCGCCATATTCACAGCCTCCTGGTTAAACCCTAGGAGATGGCCCAGCAGAAGGATGTCATGCGGGACGTTCTCTTCAATGTCCAGTTGAAGGTCATTACCCGCCTCCTTCATCTTCTCCGCCCACTCCACAATATCGAAGTATAGTACCTCTCCGCTGCCCGTGTTCACAAACATGGGCACCTCAGTCTTGAACGTCCGATTCTTCTGCGAGACATACGGCTGCGACAGCACCTTATCCCCACCCTCGCCTGCATACGCGGTTGTGCCCCACGCCGTGAAGGGAGGGGAGATGTAGTCTGTAGCGTAGTTGCGGTTGTCATGGACGTAGGAGCCGGAGGTATCGGCGGGATTGGTCCATGGTGACCACAGGAGCGCGGAGGAGGGGGCGGGTAGACCGAGTTCGGTGCCGTAGTCGGTGATGTAGCGGAGGAGCGCGATGGCGAGGTTGCCGCCTGCTGAGTCTCCGGAGAGTATAATGTTCTTCGGGGAGATCTTGAGGTCGTTCAGTAGGTAGAGGTATGATGTCAGGCTGTCTTGGAGGGCGGCGGGGAACGGGTTCGACGTCTTCGAGACGGGCAGGGTGGAGAGGCGGTATTGCGGGCAGAAGACGTGCGTGGCTGGTGTGTGTTTGAGGAGTTTCTTTGCCATTGGGCCACTGGCTGCTGTTCGTCCGTCTCCTACATTCAGTTAGCTTTGATAGAGCTCTAGCATAGTGAGGTTGTTTGCTCACCCGTAACGAAAGCTCCGCCGTGGATATGAAGGACCACCTTGGTGTTCTTATCACTGCCCGTGGTCAAAGGCGCAGGAAACCACGTCGCCCCAATCTCCACAGGCACAATATCCTTGTTGCTCCTCAATGGCCCTTTGTATGCATCATTCTTCGCTGGCTTAATGACCACAAAGCGCTCCTTCTCTTGCTCCGGCGTCAGGGGTAGTGGCGTAGCAACCTGCACCTTTGACACGTGCCATAGACCAGAGAAGAAGGCATGCACGGTGATAGCCTGTCGAAGAGTCCAGCTAGGATGCTGGCGACCGAGAACGAGGAACTTGATGAGGATGATAGGGAAGCGCACGAGCTCGAAGCCCAGGGCGCCGAGCCCATACACGGCCTTTACGGGATGTTGCGTGAGGTCCACCATTGCGCTCGTGGCAGTATCGACAGAGATGAAGAGAGCTCCATTGCGGGACTAGGGACTTATAACACGATGACGATGGTGTGCCGCTTGCCTGTGATTGTTGAGGGGCGGCTGGCTCTGAGGATCTGAGCCGAGGTCCTTGGCGCTGCTAGCTCACGATCTCCAAAACTACCCCACATCTGTACCTCGACTTTTCCAACCTTTGCCCTTGTCGACTTAGGACAATTGCATCTTGGTACGCACAGCTTTTGGTCCGGCGACATCGCAACCCGTCCTCGAGCACGCGATGATGACCCGATGTCAAGGAGCTCACTCCCAGGCGACTCACGTGCCCCGGACGACCCTCCGGCATGCCGTCTCATCTTCGTCCGACCGGATTCTTTACAGACAGGCACACGTGCTGAGTTACTCTGACGCTTGTCAAGCGGAAAGCTAACGAGGTTGCCTCATCTCATGCACATGTCCCCGGTAGCATCAGGGTTCTTTTTGGAGAAAATTACTCTCCATCCGACACGCTGCATCAGGCAAATATTGACGTTGTACTAAGTTGTTCAAGAAAGAGCTGGGGATATGTGATGTCACGTCGCAGGTTCACTTGGGCAAATCGTGTTTGTATTTTTTTTCTTGATTGGGTATCTCATTCTTCTCTTTTTCTTTCCAACATCAGTAAGCCTTTCTTAGGCTCAATCCGTACCACCATCAGCCGATTGCTGTTGCGTGAGGGACTCGTCTCTTCTATCTCAAGAGAAGCGCAGCATTGACTTGTATCATGAACGCGTGCTCGAAAATTGTGGCATCCATACGACCGAAGCCAAGTCGACAGGTAAGAATGCCAGTCGAACTGGACTCGCTTCTGGGCCTATGGATTATAGCGACGTTCCTTTTTTGGCACGGGGGGCATGTAGAATTCGTCGGTGTCATCCTGTTCGGTATTCTTCCCACGAGACTTCTTCACATAGTACTTGATCAGGGCCAGTATATCCTCTCGCGTAGTGCATGTGTCGCGACCGAGTTTTGTGTTCCGGCCTTGATCAATTCGCTTCTGGATCCTTTCCTGTACTTCGTCCAGCTTCCCTTCCGTAAGCGTTGCTAGATCCAGAAGGAGGACCAGGAACTCCTCGCCCCATATCTTAATGTCAGCTGTGTGTCTGTAGCTGAGGCCATTTGGAAGTGCTTGTTGCACGTCTTGTATATTCCAACGACTGCAGATCTCGTCGATCACTTCGTTGATGACTGGTTCGGGGGTTGGAGACCGTGAACGTGGCGCATCGGATGGGAGCTGCATGGTTGATGTCGATGGAGAGGGTCTTGCGATGGTCTTGGTTGCGGTTGCAATGCCTTGCTTGGGTCGTAGAGAGTCGCCGGTTGGTGTAGAGAGACCGTGGTCATATAGGAGCTCGCGGAATTATATCGTGTCGGGGAGAGACGTGTGACTGAACAAGGTCGCCATCGATCCGTCAGAATGAGAAGTGCCCACACAGAAGCTCCCATCTCGACTTTCACCCGAATCAAACCGCCTGTGGTTTACCTCGCGCTTGC